TGAGATTTCGGAGAAGGTGTTGGAAGTACTGATGCAGCTTCACTCTTCGCTTTCGCCTTAGGCCGTTTGGGAGGATCACCTGTAGACGATGCAGCTGCTTCATTCTCCTTCTTGGTCTTGACGGGAGCAGCAGGTTTGTCAGCATCTTCCAGGGCAGGTGTCGTCTTGGTAGAGGACAATGACAGTTTCACTGCACGTTCTCTATCCTTCAACAGTCGTTCTTGCTTTCCTCTTGCTATGTATCCTTTGATCATACCAGTTAGGTAAACATAGGTCTTTTCCGGATGCCCTTCATCAAAGGTTTTGTATCGGTTGATATCAAAAGCCATAAGCTTTGAATGTTCAATCTTCCGGAACAATGTGTCACGCAGGGAATTGTTGGAAGGCAGATCATCATGTTTCATATTGTATACGATGTCAAGCCACTTGTTGTAAAAGGCCTCAAGTTGGTCATCTCCATAGTAGTTGAACATATACAAATGATGGGCATTGTAGAGAACTTCGGTGTGGTCAGGTGATTTGAAGCTAATCAGTATCATTGCAAATAGTTCTCGTCCCTTCATAAGACCCCACTTCTCCCATACAATTGGTTCTTCATGGACATGTCATACTTCACTTGCATGGACTTGTCCCCAGCATTGTCAATGACTTTCCTCAAGGCATTGGAGAGCTTGGCATCAATGGATTGGAATCTTACATCGGGTGCTTTGGCCAGAGTTTCCAAGTCAGGTTGATCTGCGAGACACGGAGCTAGCCATGCTTTCCAATCTTCATAGTTTCGATCTCCACTTGCAACACAAACTTCATGAACGACACTTCCCTTCCAGGATGAAAGTTCAGTGGTCTTAGGCCAGGGCTGGAGGCTGATCTTTTCGGCTTCTCTTAGAGATACGGATGACTTGGATCTATCCCTTTCAAGGTTCTCCAACTCCTTGACATTGGTGTTGTACTCGTTCCTGAGCTTTTCGAAGGCTTCAGCTTCTGCTCGGTACTCCTGCTCTTCGTCATTGGCACGATCTTCAGCTTGAGAAAAATTGTTCTTGTAGTAATCTTTCCGATCTTCCATCTTCTTCAACTCATCTTGAAGATTTCGAACTTCATTGTTCTTCTCTTGCTTCATCTCGTCCAACTCTGTTTTCAGTTTGGCACACTTCTCTTCACATTCATTCCGAGGCATAGCATTACTGGGGTACCCATGTAATGTAGTCGGTCTATTCATTGATGAAGAAGAATGAGCTTTGTTTTCCAACTTCAGGGCAGCAATGGTGCTCGACATCTCTTCTACCTCAGCGAAACGCTCATTGGCCAATTGATGCATCTCGGTCAAGTGGCTTTCAGGAGTCGCACCTTTAATCACGAGTCTTCTGTCGTTCAGCATCTTGATGGACTTACCTGCATCCCTGTGAGCACGCTCAAGAGAATCCTTTTGGGCTTCAAGTTCAGTATGAAGGCGAGCAATAGCTGTGTCCCTGTCATTGATTTCATTGTGCAAACTGTCGAACAAGCTACTCGTCACATTCGGATTGTTGCTCATGTGATCGATCTTGTTCAAAGCATCTTGATATTTCTTACCAGTTTCATCAAAGTTTCGCTGGAAGACTTTGAGCAGGTCCTCAGTGTCAATGAGTTCAGTTCTGTTTTGCAAGTACAACTTGTCAACTTCAGCCTTGGATTCCTTCAAACTGTCACGTTCTCGCACGGCTTGCATATACATCTCGTATAGAGGTCCTCCATGCGGTGATCTGCTTGGTGAAGATCTTCTGGCTTGTTGACAGGAAAGTTCATGATACTGATTCTTCGATTCAGTCAGTTGTTGTTGCATTCGATCTAAAAGACTTTGTTTCATGTGTAGTTCAGAACGTAGTCCCATTATCCTCATGTCCCGCATGCCGCCTGATTCAGCTATAGATTCTTCAGGAACCTTGTTCTCAGAAATTGCTAGTCGAGATTGTAGGTTCTCATTTTGAATCATCTGCAATCGAAGTTGTGACTCTTCCAAAGCTAAATGATGTTCGCATTCTGCATAACGGTCATGTTCAGATCTTATGTTACTACGGAACTCCTTCATGATCTCGTCCCTCTTCACGTCAGCAGCATCGAGCTCAGTTTCCAGTCGTCTAACGTTCATGGCCATGGTGTGCTTCATTGTCTGGTTTTGATTGGCAACCTCGAGCATCTCGATCTGTAAAGCACATGTCTGGTCATTAGCGTAGCCGACCGCTAGAGCTTCTTGCTTGGCATTCATCTCTGCGCTTTCCAGTTCCAGTCTGAGTTGATTGATGTGAGCATTCGCATCGGCGCCCACATGTACCATGATTGCGCTCGCTTGTCCCATTTGTTCATCGAATTCCGAACGTAGTCGTGAATATTTGAATTCCAAATGAGATGCAGTTTCATTCGACATAGTCTGATACCTTTCCAACTCTTCGATCCTGTAGGTCGCACCTTCATCTTCTTGTTGTGCAGCCTGTAACTCGAAGTTCAGCATCTGGAGTTGTTCGGTCATCGACATCATCTCTTGATGAGTGGTGCTTTCCAGGAAGTTAAATTGTTGATAGGCATATGCTGTCGTCTCACTCAATCTTGCCTGAAGTACGGATTCTTCTTCAGTGGCCCTTTCCAGTGATGTTTTGTACTCAGCTAATTCACTCTTATAGGCAGTGAAGATGTCGCTACCACTTGACGGGGCGTTCACTTGCTGATACGATCCTGTCCCTGATGGTGTAGCGTCCTGAATCGGTGAAGGCGGATTCGACGACGTAGTCTTTGCCTTAGTCCTTGGAGTCATCGGAGGCGACAATTGTCGTGCAGATGATCTCCTCTTTCCAGGTGTGCTGTCCCTATCTTCAATTGCTTGCATTGTCGAAATTTGTCTCCCTCTAGGGGCAACCAGAGGTCGCCTGGGTAGGCTTGTTCTCAATTCTGAGGCATCGCTTCCACCAGTGTCGATACTCTGTGAAGAATTTGACTGCGTGCCGGCAGCTGGTGCAACGGCATGTCCAGAGAAAGAAAATGCATTATCGCTGCTATCCTGTTCAGTCATCTGTAAGGCCCGCGGCTACCCGCTCGTAGGCTCCGTAGGAGTCCTACGGCTGATAACCTGCGAATCGGGGATTGTTTGTCCGATTATGTTCTGGTAGTTGGATTCGAAGTAAAAACTCCAATGATGACGTTACACGGGCAGCAGCTTCCGCATGGCAGTTCTTTGTTCTGGTGCTGCAGTAGGTCTTGAGCCAAAGAGGCCAGTTTGAAATACCCCTTTGGCATTGGATCCTAGAGTGTCGAATTATGTGTGAATACACAATCGTACGTAGCCTACACTCTATTCGCATCTCCCATTAGTATGCTCATTATATTTTCAAATTTCAGGCAAAAATGAGGATATATATATAATTGTATATATATATATCATTGTGAATATATATATATAATAAATATATATATGTGTGTATTATTATTATTTATATATATATTGTTGTATATATAAATATGTATATATATATATATATTAATTTTATTGTATATATATATATATATATTGTTACATAGTTTTTATTGTATATATATAAATTATTGTATATATGTATATTAGTGTATTTATATATTATTGTATATATATATATATTATTGTATATATAGATATTATTGTATACATATATATATATCTATATATTATTGTATATATATATATGTATATTATTGTATATATATATGTTATTGTATCTGTAAATATTTTATAGTATGTATATATCTATATAGATACATATTTAGATATATATATATATATTCATTTATTTATTTATTATTTATTGTTGTAAATATATATATATATATGCATTGTATATATATATATACATTTATTTATTTGTTTATTTATCAATTTATTTATTAATTAATTTAGTTATATATCTATTATTGTAAATATATATATATATTTGTTTATTTATTTATTTATTTGTTCTTGTATATATATATATTTATATTTATATTTATTATCGTATATATATATATATGTGCACTGGCTGCGGACTTTGTATCTTGCCCGGCGCCTTCACTTCCCTCACAAGTCCTTGTCCCCCAGCATCTTCTTCAGATCGTTCCAAGAGCTGCGTGGTTTCTGCAACAGCACAGCCACCGCCGCCACCTGTCCAGTTGGCATCGTTTTCCGACGGTTCTTGGAGGTTCAAACCAAATAGGCCCCCGAATATCAAGACGGGAACCAAAAAAAATGAACAATATCAATCGTAGATTCCTTCAATGGTGGACGTAGTACTGGAAAATAAAAAGTCATCTTCAGCAAATCCAAGACAAAATCCAGCCAATCCCCCCAAAAAAGTGATGTTTAAGAGGCCAAACAACAACAAAGGTGGGAGGTCGTAAAGTTTGACCCATGGCTAGATCGCATTTTATGAATCTCAAGAGCTGGTTTCACATCCACATCCGTGAAGATGTTCTGGGTCTAAATGGTTAGGAAATCAAGGCATCACCAAAACGAGACTTTGTTTTGCACTAGTCTCTTAGGCGGTTGTCGATCCCGTGCTGCAAATCGTAAGCCCATCCCAGCCACGAAAAACTCAAAATCTAAGCGCGTTTGCTACGACCCATCCAGTCTAGATATGTAACTTCACATGCGGTTCCAAAGCCTTGCTACATCGAACTGTGTTCTCTTCACTTGGGGGCACAGTTAATAAGCAGGCATGGCATGTAGCCACATTTATCGGTGCTCTTTACCAGCTGACAAAGCAAAAACAAAATGGTATTGCCAATGAACAAAGCCAAGCGCACCCCAGTTTCCACTAGTACCCGAAATTATTGTTGATTCAACATGGCATATATATATATCTATATCTCTCTCTCTATCTATCTATCTATCTATCTATCTCTCTCTCTCTCCCTTTAATTTTGATGGTGAAATCCCAGCCCTCATTTATCAATGATTCAAACGGTAAAATCCCCGATCATTTTCCAATGAGTCAAACATCTCCAAAACCAGCGGGCACCACAGTCTTCACCGCTTGCGGCGGATTCTTCAAGGACTTGGTCTCATCCACAGCCTGAGTTACCGCCTCTATATGTATGTGTCCATACATGTTATATATAGTAATAAGGACAAGCATACGTATAAGCATAAGGAAATGCATATGCAAATGTAAGTGACATGTGTATGCAGGTGTACATATGTATGTGTATGCGTCTGTATATGCGAAACGATGTGTGTACATACATACACATACATGTACATACATATACATGCATATACATACAATCACATACATATACATACATATTCGTACATTTACGTACATTTACACACATTACATACCATTACGTACCATTACATTGCATTACACTACACTACATTGCATTACATTACATTAATGCAAACATACATATATACATATGCATATATATATATATATATACATATACATATACACATACATTTACATTCACATGTACCGTAAATATACATTACTTACCCACATACATACACTACAGACAATTTCTTTATATTAGATAACATTACATACATATATATATACATGCATGCATGCATGCATGAATACATGCATGCATACATGACGTTACATTAAGTTACATTATGTTACATTACATTACATTACATTTGCATTACATTACATTTGCATTACATTACATTACATTACATTACATACATACATACTCTACTATACACTACATTACAGTGATTGCGTTGCGTTGCATTGCATTGCAGGACACTACATGATTTACATACATACAAGGGCATATGCATATATTTATATATAAATATAAACATATTTCATATACATGTACATTCTCCTTGGCAGGACAGAGAAGATGTTTATCCATGCGTGCTTGAAGGAAACAATCTACCATTCAGCAAAGGTTATCACCATGGGAACTACCAACTACCTGCCTTACGTACCAAACGTGGGCTGGTAATCCAACCTGGTGTGCTAAAGAATACTTCACACGTAGATTATATTCTCAAACCTTTTTCCATAAAACATTGGGGTTCCCCAGCCAGGTTAAAGTGCCAGAAGGTGAAATTATATAATGTCAACCGCGGATTAATACACCCCTGGGCCATTTAATTGAAGAGGTACGACTTGAAAGCAAGTTTTTAAACCTTGGACCGTTTCAACAATGAACCTTTATAGCTACTAAGACTAAGCCCTAACAAGCGTCCAAAGCCTCCGTGCTGGCAGGCCATGATACAAATGATCTATTACCGTGGCACAACTTGGGAATAGCACTGTGAGGTCATGACTACACCCTGCGCGATCTTCAAAAATACGGGCTGATGGAGGTTCAAAGCAACCGACATACAGAATCCCAGGCTGAACCAAACGATTATATATTTGCGGCTCCACCATCTTGGTTGAAGAGATTCCTGGCTCCCTGACGCTCAAAACAGGGGTCTGGCCTGGGCACTGCCCAACTGGGACCAATTTCAATGGATCTTCTTGGTTTGTTTTTAGAGGAAACCATCTAACTGATTGTAAAAATGTTGGTTTCCTGAGATGTTCCCTTATGAAAGTAAAATCCATTGTTGACTCGTAAGTCAGTTTCACAGGGTCATGCCATGACACCCCCCCAACTCTTACAAATTATATACGCCCCCTGGCTGATAGTTGCCTCTGTTGGAATGATTCCTCCCTATTCAATCCAGTGAACCATCAAACTATTATGCCAGCCATCAGCCAACATGTATGTAACGGCTCATATTCCCATGTTTGAGAGTAAATACAGCAACATGTCATGACCCGTTACTACCCCAATATTTCGAGAGTGGTACCTTTCGTACCCAATCATGAACCACAAAAAAAATTCTGGGCACCCTGATGAAACATTCCTTGGGGTGGTGTGATCTTCATCTCACGGTGCCAAGGCACAGCCTTCGACAAGCTGTTAAGGCCATCCCTGGCCCCTTTAAAGATCGCAAAGGCCTCCTCTTGGGTCAACCTCGGCGCGCGGAGCCACTGTCCCACTGGGGAGGTAAACATTCGGGACGATAATGTCCCACTGGTAATTTAACATTTTTATGGTAAATCAATGTCTGGTTGGTGGTTTCAACCCCTCTGAAAAAATTAGTCAGTCGGGATTACTATTCCCATATATTATGGAAAAATAAAAAATGTTTGAAACCACCAACCAGTTATATATTATGGTAAATCAATGTGATCGCCATGTATGGTATGTATGCTAAATGAGCGTTTTTCCACAGCCGTTAAAAAAATGTTCAGAGGGTATGGGACATGATGATTGGGTGAAGCCATACGTAGCCATACTATTTAGGAATGATTATAGGTGGAAATCGGTGATTTATCCTATCATCCCAAAAGCAAGAGAGAAATCACTGGCTGTACTCTAGGATAACAGCTGCTAAAAATTACATGGCAAAACAATCGAAACAAGAGTTGGTGTGGGTGTGTGCGTGTGCGCGTGCGTGTGTGTGCGTGTGTGTACCATCTGTAGAGATGTAAGACTTCTTAATTTGCAGGGAGGTGTGGCACTCATGTCCTACCACACGCAACAAAGCTGTGGACATGAGTGGGAAGGGAAACGTGGCCGGTTTCCTGTACCTGCCGCTTTATGTATATTTATGTATAGTCCCGCCCCTGGGCGCAGTTAAGTCGCAGCTGGGGGGGACCTGTATTGTACCGCTGTTGGTTTATAACTATATCGTCACCGTCTCCTGTGATTTTAAATATATATATATATATGCATATTCATCATGTCATTTGCACGTAAGATGCATTCCACACCAAAACTCGCAATGACAGTTCTGAGCAAGTGTGCGCGCGAATATTCATTGTTATTGAAATATGTTGAATATGTTAAATATAAATATAAATGATATTATATATGTGTGTATGTGTGTTTGTATGTATGTATGTATGTATGTGTGTGTGTGTATGTATGTATGTATGTATGTATGTATGTATGTATGGATGTATGTATGTATGTATGTATATATGTATGTATGTATGTATGTATGTGTGTCTGTATGTATGTATGTATGTATGTATGTATGTATGCGTGTGTGTATGCATGCATGCATAGATGCATGCATGCATGCATGTATGTAACACTGTTTGTATGTATGTATGTACGTATGTATGCATGCATGCATGCATGCATGCATGTGTACATGTACATGTACATGTACATGTATGTGTGTATGTAACACTGTATGTATGTATGTAACACCGTATGTAACACTGTACGTAACACTGTACGTAACACTGTATGTAACACTGTATGTAACACTGTATGTAACACGGTATGTAACACTGTATATAACACTGTTTGTAACACTGTATGTATGCTAAAGACTATGATGGTAAAACCTCCCAGATTTATGCTTACCCTGCTAATTATCTTTTCGGAAGACCAAGCACAACATGAGAAAATGAAAAATGTGACAAAATGGTGCAAAATGACCCCAAAGTGGTTTGTCACAGGGGTGGTTTATGATTGGGTTTGCCGCATTAGGAGCTACGGGCGGCCCCAAAAAAGATTGCACATGCAAATAGAGAACATCCAGTTTCAGCAAATTTGCACTTTCCTTCGGTTTTCTTTTAACCGTCCTCCAGAAACCAGGAGCACAACCTCCCTACAATAACCAATCGGCAAAGATGCTGGTCACTGCGCACTTGTAAGCAGGTGGTGGCTATGGTTGGGAAGCCCCTGAAAAGTAAGCCCCTGAAACATGGTTAGTCGATTATCATAATGCTGAGAAAGGGGTTGAATTTAAGTTTCTTACTAAGTAGGGTGATCCTCCAAGGGGGGCCTCACATTGCACGTGGTTTGTGAAAGTGGGGCTTGCTGGCGGTGATAGATGGGATGTCGGCATCACCTCATTTTATGGGGTTTCTCGGCCACGGCCGTAACGATATACGGGTAAAATGTTTATGAAGAGTCACCACAAGAATGTTGATTAATAGAAAACATCATAACCAGGCGAAGACAGAAATAACATCCATCATTACACCAAATCATTACTTGCATGATATATATGATATTCTTACATGATACTGCTATCATTCCCATTAGCCAAAATATAGTCGTTGTCGTTGGGGTGGGCCAACACTTCCCCATCGGTTGATGGAAAGCCATGCGCAAGACACACTGGCGAGGCGCACTGGGTTCCAGCGGCGAGTCTCCCGAATGTTTTAGATGGGATACTTGTGAGGGATTAGGGACTTTTGTGGGGCCCCCAAGCAAGTGAAGTTTCTTGGACGCACATCGGTTTTGCCTATATAGATTCCGACAGGGAGGTGCCCAACCATTGTGTAGAGTTCCAATCCAACTAAACCTGCATTCCCTACCTAAGTGACCATCTGCAGCACACTGGGCCATCTTTGTTAACTGTGCGATGGAAAACGTCCGGCTTGATTTGAACAGGAAAATTGCGACTTTAAAGGAAGACTTCAAATAATATACTCGATTTTTGCACCCACTCAAACTGCCTGAACGTGGGCGCTAACCGGTATACAATCACAGAAGGCACTTCCAACCCCCAAATTAATGACAACTTTGAATGCCTCTTAAATACCCTGAAAAAATATGCAGAATACGTCCTGTTTCAGATGGTCAGTGAATACTTGCAAAAGATTCACTTGTATAAAACAAACCATTCACTCGGTTTCCCAGACTTGCTGGTTATATCTTACCTCCCAAGTATATCGCCATAATTGTCGAGAAAAAAAACAGCCCCCGCATTATGCCCAGGTTTCCCCAAATATTTACGCATGCTCGTCAAAGCCTGGAATTCCAGATAAAGACCTAAAATCATTTTACTTCGAGATCCCCACCTTGACATATTATTGTGACATTTTTTCTGGCATTCTATCTGGCATTTGTTCTAGCGTTCTATCGGCCTATCGGGCATTCTATCTGGCATATACTCCGAAGCTCTATACCTGACATTCTATCTGGCACATTTTCTGACATTCTATCTGGCATTCTATCTGGCATCTATTCCGACATTGTATCTGGCATTCTATTTGACATCTATGATAACATTCTATCTGGCATCTATTCCGACATAGCATCTGGCATTCTATTTGGCATCTCTTCATTCTAACATTCTATCTGGCACCTATCTGACATATATTCTGACATTCTATCTGGCATTCTTTTTGGCATTTTATCTGGCATATATTCTGACATTCTTTCTGACATTCTTTCTGGCATTCTGTCTGGCATATGTTCTGACATTCTATCTGGCAATCTTTCTGGCGTTCTACCTGGCATGCATTCGGTCGGGTCTAGGCATGCCCCACAGCACCCGGAGCTGGCAGAAGCAAGAGGCGAGAAGAGGAAGAAGGAGGACCTTTGCTAAAATCTAGAGACCCTCACCTGGCAGGTGGGGGAAAAATTGTTCAAACCACCAAGTTTCAGCATTATTTTTTAACAACCCCGCAAAACTGCAGATGTCAAGCATCAAAGCTTATCAAAACCCATTGGGGCCCATGAAAAGCACATGTTTGTTTCGCGCTGGTCGTCCGAGAAACTTGGTACCAACCGAAAATTCCTCCACGGTGTACTGCACCTCGCCCTTCGCGTCCACGCCCTGCTCGCCCAAAGTCTTGTATTGATCCTGTGGCCACGGTGGGCGTGAATTAAAATTAGCACATGAACGATGCCCTGGAAAACAGATTGTGACATGAATACCTGTATTTATATATATAATCTACATATTATATAAATATATTTTATTTATTTACATATTATATATATACTATTTATTTATATCTTTATTATTATTTATTTGTTTGTTTATTTATTTAAATATTACATAAATAAATATATATATATAATTCATATGTATATTATTCAGTTACATATTTTGCATATATATGTTATTTCTTTACATACTATATATATATGTGTGTTAATTATTTACATATTATAGATATATGTGTTATTTAGATATTATAGATATATGTGCTATTTATTTACATATTGTATATATATATATAAATGTTTTTAATTTATTTGTTTATTTTTTTATTTATATCTCTCCATCGCCTTCGGACCAAGGCCCACCCAGCCTAACAAAATATGTAAAGATATACATCTTATATATATACACACACAACTTATGCGTTTTAGTTTGCCGTGTGTACCAGTAGTAATTACCGCACAAGGCGGTGATGGAAGTTTCAACTATAGGAAACCTAAGCAGAGGTGAGTTGTTGTGATGATGGGTGGCAGAGCGAACCCGCTGATGGAACGAAAGGTGGTTGAGGCTCTGGGTCTCTCCCTCTCTCTCTCTTTCTTTCCCCCTCTCTATCTATCTCATCTACCTCATCTACATCATCTATCCCATCTATCTCATCTATTTCATCTATATCATCTATATTCATCTATCTCTTCTGTCCCATCTATATCATCTATCTCATGTATCTCATCTGTTTCATCTGTCTCATCTATCTCATCTGTCTTATCTACCTTTCTTTCTTTCTATCTACCTACCGGCCTACCTTTATATCTATCCATCTATCCATCTATCTATCTGTCTATCTTTCTTTCTATTTATCTATCTAACTATATTTCTTTCTGTCTGCCTACCTACCTATCTATCTATCTACCTATCTATCTATCTATCTAACTACCTATCTATATTGTATAACTATTTTCCTTTCTGCCTATCTATCTATCTATCTATCCATCCATCCATCCATATATCCATCTGTCTCTATCTGACTCTATCTCTATATTTTTCTCTATCTCTTTCCCCATCTCTTTCCCTATCTCTTTCTCCATCTATCCATCGATCCATGGACCCATCTATCTATCTATCTATCTGAAAGGGTGAAGCAATTATGCGAGACTTCCTCAAAATATAGGTGCTCACAGCTCCGAAATGAAAAATTGTTCTGCGAGACTCCCTCAAAAAATCGAAGGTGATATCAAAAACGGAGCAATTCTGCGAGACTTCCTCCAAAATTGGACTTTGCCAACATCAAAAACCAGGCAGTTCTGTGAGACTTCCATCCAATAAAACAGGCAGAGCTGACAGCCTCCTACCAATGTACTTTGTGTTTCTTCCAGTCCATCTGTCTAAAGTACTGCTCCTGCCACGAAAAAGTGAAGCCAACTCACACGAAGTGCTGCGCCTGCGCTAAATCAGCTTAGCAGACCTGAGGATCTCATGCTCCAAAATGCAACCCCTCTCAGGAAATCAGCTCCCTGACCTCCGAACATATCTGTTGGAGCTCGAGATGTCTCTTGTACTGCGCGTGCCACGCGAAATGCATCTTTGCATAATATCTTCTTCAAATGCCCCACGCCTGCCATCGTTTTTTCGAACTGCTACCAAACCCTCACGTTTGGCTCCCTTCTGGCGAGGTGCAGAATCCACTGCGCCTGCCACGAAAAACGACGCTTGAACGTTCAAAAGCGGTCGGAACATGTGGTGCTTTTACCATGTTGACTTCAAAATGGGCTTCGCGCCGCAGCCGCGTACACTTTTTCAACAATTCAACTTCCAAAAGCGCTCCGGGCCTGATGTGTTTTTCACATTTTGACTTTGAAACGCGCTTTGCGCTTCCAAAAGCGTTTCCGAGAATGAAGTGTTTAGCATTTCAACTTAATGTGCTTCGCGCCACAACAGCGTGCGCTTTTCCAACATCTCAACTTCCAAAAGTGCTCCGAACCCGCTGTGTTTTTAACATTTTGACTTCCACATGTGTTTCGTGCCACGGCCGCCTGCACTTTTTGATCTCATCCAACCAGATGCCTCCGCACCCGCTGCTTTAGCGAGCCTACTTTTCGACCCTCCAGAGCCGCGAAATATTGGGAAAAACAGTGTTTCGCGACTTTTCTCCGGTTGTCTTCTTTCTACTGACTTCCTCTTCTCTGGTTCTTTCTCTTCTCTGACTTTTCTCACAACTGTTGCTGCATCTGTCCGTAAGTGGGAAGTTTGACTTATAAATTTCCTTCGCTAAGATTTGGTTTGAATACCAGTGTGAATATTATACATGCATCCCCTTTGCTTGATACCCTGCAGCAATTGCAAAACGCTTTATAGAGAAAATAGCTGCTATAGAATGCATAACCAAACATATTTTCTCTATAAAATGTATAGCCAAGGGTTTTATATGAAATGACCCTGCTTTACATTAAGGACCAAAAATTGCCTATATTTGCTCATCAAAAGTGGTGGACTATACAACGGTATCCCAAACTTCCTTGTCATCCAATCGCGTTGATTTTGTACAGTGAGCATGTGCCCAAAAAATAGATACACACATCTTCCAGCATTTAGCCCTCTATTGAATGACCTTAAAAAGGTACCCAAAAACGCATTTCATAGAGACAAAGGCTAGGCATTCCATAGGCCTTCACAGACCGGGGATATACATGCCATGCCCTATGTGATATTGCCATAAACAATATAACACACCTACATCGTAAGTTGCATGTGTTTGATCATATACTGTGCGCGATATATCAAATCTTGTGTTCTACTGAGGCGTCTGAAATACTGCTTTAAAAAGATGGCACACTAAAATTCAATGGCACGTTGGATGTTTGCACTTGCAAATATTTTAAAAATAGCACTAAATATTATATATGATCAAAGATACCATGTTTGAAGATATGACATGATGTATTGTACATTAAGCGTGTGTGCATGTGTGAATATGACATGAAGTTTCTCATTGTGTACGCATGTGGTTGTGCATGCACGTATGTGGAATGACACAAGCAATCTATGCATATGTATATCTATTTAACATATATATATATATAAGTAAAATGCTAAGCGTAGAGTACAACGGCATGAAAACAAATAACATGCCAAATCGATCCAAATCGAAACAAGTGTGCTGCGATCAAATCATACAGGTGCAGAACATGGAAATAGGCTCCACATTTTCGGTTCAGAGAAAAGCGTTTTCGGCTCCTGTATATTGATTTCCCGGATTAAATGGTTCGGTTGTTTTAAGCTACCAAGCTACCAAGCTACCAGACTGGGGCTTAGGTTGAAAACACCAACCAGGGAACTTACCCAGTAATTCCAAAACAAATTTCGGGGGAAAGGAAACGCCAGGGAAATTAACATAGAAAATTTGGCAGAAATTTCCACATCACCATAGGGGACCGCGACCTAAAGCTCTTCTAAACCCACTTGATTTGGTTTCCATATGTTCATCTCGACTAAAACTCGGATCTCTATGATTTCTACCTACGCTTACCATTGTAGATCCATGTAGGCTTCTTGATCAGATTCGAAGAAATGAGGTTGTTAGGTCTGTTAGGTTGCACCTTCAAAAATTCGATTTGTCATGGGTTGCCATCGAAGATTGGCTTTGCCCAAAAAGTGCCCCCAAACATGTCACTGTTACTCTTGGGCTAACCGTATCTTTCGACATCCACCTGGAGTGCACCTAGGGTTTCTAATAGCTATACCTCCGGCAACAACCTCGAAAAGTTTCATGTTACTGACAAAAGCCTAGCAATAACTTCCAATAATTAGTTTGGATACAACCCCTTTACCTATGGTTATATATCCACTTCTTCGCGGAACGGCATCCCATATCTGGCCGTTCTTGTCCCAAACTCAAGGCCCAGTTTCCATGGGCTCGGCCGAGATGAAAATCTTAACTACCTGCCGGAGTTACCCGCAGACATACATGAAATACTCATGCGCACAATGACGCATGTGTAAACATTGATGCCCTCAACTACTACCTAAGGACCCTGAGGTTTCATTGTAGACCTCCAACCCCCTGGTCTAAAATGAATGTCCTTAGTAAACTCCTTCGTTTTTTTAATTTAACCACTTGACCATGCTAGACCTTTTGGGGGACCCAAGCTTTGTGGTCTAAAATGAAGTTCCCGATCCTTACATATGGAGCTATCAAGATACAACATGAATACGTATGAACAAGTTTGGAATTGATAGGGTATTAAATAGATAATAATAATCTTCAACTTTGGGGCCTACCATTTTTTTTGTGGGGCTCAAATTTGAATATGTTTGACTATTTCACAAGATTTTGGAAAATAATCTCCAACTCTGCGCTTCCAATTTAATACCACTATGCGCTTCCATTTTGGGAGCACTATGCATTGGCTGAGTAAGTATCAAATCTGAAGTGTTCCGCGGGGGGTTCCCAAACTACAAGGGTCTATTTTGGTTTTCTTGTGGCCTAGGTGCTTTTTTTTTGGAAATTAAAGGGCAATATTATTTCAGACCCTGCCCCTGTTATCTTTTCAACTTGCGGTGAGTGTCTCATAGACGTTTTTGAGAAGATTAGGGTCTCTGAAACTTTATGTCAGCAGGGGGCTTTTTAGATTTTATGTTAGTATTGCATGTTTGGAAGCATTTTGCCCGTCCATTTTGGTACCACTGTAGCCTTCACGATTTTTAGGGACCCGCATGTCCCAACCGGGCCTCTGAAACTTTATGAGCTACAATTTTGCTAAATGACTGTCACTAAACAAATGTAAAAAATAAAAATCTACATCATCAGCAACTACATGCAAATATAATATAATCAACTATATGATATCCATAACTACAATGATATGCATAGCAAGTCCAGGGGTCTACAATGATACTGCTTCGAAATGATCCGCTGTCGGTTCTTGTCTGTGCTTGCTTTCCATCGACATGAGCACCATGCTGGCTAAACAGAGGGATGCGCACAAAAGCTCAATGATTGTGACTTTGTGGCTGTAAACCAGTTCCAAGCCATAGCCCGTCCACATGTCATTGGCGTAGCTGAGCGGTGGTAATGAGGCACATGATGGGTAGGGCCGCTAGCGGAGTTCAAATGTAAACCAATATGTTGTTAAAAAGTGTGCATTTTGACTAATGCTCATACGCGGTTCATTCTTTTAAACCAGCACTGCGCGCAACATTCAATGTTTATACCATCAAGTACTCAGGATGCCTTGACCTGGCGACGGGCCAGCAGGAGGGTCTACTATGGTTTACCATTTACAATTCCTCTGACCGCATCCCAGATGTGATAAGCAGGGTTGCGCGTCATACGGGGTGACCAAGTTGCAGGATAATTGTCTCTGTCACTTGATTAAACCCCCTGTCAACTTGTTACATGTTTTTCTTCAAATCCCGGTGTTTGCTGGTGAAATCGTAGCTATACAAATAAACCAACAAATATTCAATCAAACAAAACAAGAAAAGAAATATGTATATATATATATATGGAGGTTTCCTGAAATGGGGGTACCCCTAAATCATCCATCTTAATAGGATTTTCCATTATACACCATCCATTTTGGAGTATATATACCACCATTTCTGGAAACCCCTATAATATATATATATTACATAAATGGACAAATACATGCGCGAAGGCTGGACACTACAAACGAAAAAAATGCTGAGAAAAACCAGCCAATCATTCGCTCTGCCTGGCTCTTTGTCTCTGGCACTTGCGCGTACAAAGCATTGACCAAGTCCATGTAGGTGGTTTCGGCCTCAGCGACCGTAGTGCAGATGGACCCCTGGGGTCCACGTTTCCATCTTCAATGGTTGTCGCTGGTTCAGCCCAACGCAAAGTTAGCCCAACGCAAAGTGCGGTTGCTATAAAACGTGCATTGCACAAGTAATGTCGATATAGAATCAGGTCTCCTGAGGGGCAAGATGCACAAAAGACAAAAACGGATCGTAAGTCTCACCAAGTGGTGTTCCATTCTTGCCTGAGTTGGTACAAAACTAGGTTGACTAGTGTTTATGGTGATTTGAAAAACCAGTCGAAAAGGCATTCATAAACCAGGAAACATCCCCCAGGAACACCATCTTGCAAAACTGGATTTGCAGGCAGCAACTCACACGGAGGGGCAGTGGCCACATATTCTGCGGAATGAAGCGGGATGGTTCTGAATTTTGTAACCAACCATGGATGACAACAAGTTCAAAACACCAAATGATTGTAGCGTATGCATGTCCGGTGCTATCGCAAATCCCACTGTCCAAGACATCAGGCTGCATTGTTCGCAGGCGCAATGTCGCTCATAAACACTCCGAGCAACATGACAGCAGCAAAAAACGCACAGCGACAGGTTGGAACAATCATCTAGTGTAAAGTTCTTTCCATAATTCACGATCCTGTGCCACCGGGAGAATTCTACGAATGTGGGGAGTAGTATTGTACCATCGTGGCATATGTGATGAGACAAAGTTTTTGAGTTCCTGAATTGTAAAGAGTTGGTAATATTCATGCAAAAACTCTCCTGGAGCGGGCATTTGTTTGCGTGTAATCATTTGGACTTTGTTAGATGCTTCAGCCAGGGCCAATTCAGGCCAGTGCGCTCTTGGGGCTCCTTTTCTAAAAGGGGACGAAATAGTGCGGAGAGAATAGGACGAATGAAAACAGATCTGGTGTTCGAAGGATTCCGGATGGCGGAGGATATGTCCTAGATACTTCAGTCTGGTGTTAGATATCCGAAGGGATGGAGGAAAAAGTGAAGGATGGATAGTGTAAGCTAAGGCTATCAAATGTTCGTTGGAGCAAGGTGCTTCACTTGGGCTTAAAACTCTGTGATAGAACGGGCTTTTAACTTGTAGGATCTGTCGAAGAGCTTTATAGTGCAGTGAGTTGATTTTGGTAACTTGAGCCGGTGAATATACCTGGGACTCTGCTCCATGAAGTAGAAATGCTTGAACAATTTGGGAATATATCTGAAACTTTTTCTTTGGATGAATCAGCGGGTGTCGAAAAAAGGGTGAGAGAGCGTGGAAGGCTGTTGAAGCCTGGGAGCACCGAAAGTTTACATCGGCTGTGCTGGAGGAATTGGAAGAAATAAATGCCCCTAGATATTTAGCTGTGTCCATTTGTGGGACAGGGGGTGCTAAGGAGTCAGGCTGGATGGGTATGTCCAGAAAGGGGGCACAAAACTCGCACGAACATGGGTCAGTTGCGGTCACTGTCTTGGAAAGGGATATAGGGAGGGTAGTGTTAAGCAAAAGAAGTTGACATTTATGTTGGTTAAGTGATAGCCCCCGTTGGGCTGCAAGATGCTGCAGGAGGTGAACAAGACGGTGAAGTGTGGCCTGCGTTCTGGCCATTAGGACCGTATCATCCGCAAATTCAAGGTCAGTCAACGGGTGCTCCGCAGAGAACGTCCATGGGACATGCTGGTACAAACCCTCAAAGAATGTCTTAACATCTAGCATTAAACAAGAAAGAACTACAATGAACAGGTATGGGCTGAGTGGGCAGCCCTGACGAAGACCGCGCTGGATTGAGTACGTGTGGGATTGGAATTCTGCTTCAGAAACGTAAAATTTGGCTTGGTGGTAGAGCGCCATGATAGCCTGAACAAAAATAGGTGTTGCTCCATATCGTTGCAGAGCCATTACTGTTCGGAGATTGTTCCAAAATTGGGTTTTGCGTTGGTGATCAAACGTGGAGTCTTGAGTTTGTGACGGGGCATAAATAGAAAATAAAGCCGTTCTGAGGGGTCTTGTGTTTAAAATTAGAACAGCTATGCGCGATGACCAGGGATGGAAATCGTATACTAAGGGTATTAAAGGGGTAGGGATTGCAAATCCGACCCCGGCGTGGGGGTCCTGCGAACTACCGCTAAAATAAAAGTGGACTTTGGGAAATTTGAGGCAGTCCATCTGGGTGGATTTTGTTTCCTGCAATGCGTATATACCTACTTTAATGGTGGATATCGTCTGCTGGAAGAGCTCAAGTTTTCCGACACCTAGAAGGGATTCCAAGTTCCAGGAGTACAATGTCATTCTACGGTTCGGAGGGGCAAAGTTATCCAATCTGGCTTGAGGTTCGTCTAACCTATCTCGCTTTACATAAGTTTTGAAAAGGCTAGTTCGAGTAAACGAAATCGATGTCATTATGCGGCGAGGGTAGTTGCGTCGCTGCGCATAATTGCTAACATGCACCTTTTTCGGGGGGACAGGAATGGGGACCAAGGTGGAACTTCTCCATTCCTTATTGTTTGCGTTCCATAGTCTGTAAGCGCGACGATTTTGAGCGCGAGTGATGTTATATTTCTGGTGGCGTCTGCCTATAGCTGTTTGGGAGCGAAGGTGTTGGTGCGTCCGTCCCCCCGCCGCACGGCAGGATTCGTGACCACTTGCCTGATCATACCGAGGTAAATTATGCTGGTATATGCTGTAATATTTAAAAGAAAGGCCGTGGTCTCCCGGCAAGCCGTTGGTGGCCCCTGCCGCCACTAGCTGCTGATTTATAGAGAATCTCCGTCTTCCATGAAATGACTTATATATTCGTTGTCCGCGGCGAAAATACCAAAGTGATGTGTGGTGCTTACACATAAATGAATGATGTACTTGCATCCCGTTCTTGAGAGGAAACGAAACGGATTGAAATTTTTTGGGGCAGTTGTAATAATACCATGTCCCTAAAAAGTTTTGACAAAATGAGCAAAAATTATTGCCGTTTATGGAGTGCTGCTTCTGGTTGCGGAGCACGGCCAAGCGGTGCAAGAATTGATGATTTTCTGTTTGCACATCTTTGGATCTAACGTGGAAAGAGGGTCCGAAGCAACAAGGTTTGTTACATTCATTTATCCTAGATGTACAACATATAGCTACGGACCGGGCTTCCTGCAGCAGGCAGTGCTGTTGACTGCTTGGAATGTGCCAAAAACTTCCTGCTCCCAAAGAGCAGTGTGTTGCGCTTTCCTTAATAGGCGCATGTTTGTCCTTAGTAGATTTTTGCACTTTGTGCATATGGCGCAGCTGCACCTGAAACTGTCTGTGTTCATTGAATACTTTCGGATACAGAGCATGACTGGTATGGAGCGGCAATCTGCTGGAGTTAACGAATATGTTTTTCCTGGAGTTAGCGTAAAAAATTGTGCATACAGTGATCAGAATTATGGAATTTATCACCAAAGTCATTAGTGCCAACCCATGCCATGCTGGTAGTCAGTACACAGAAACTACCCAAGCGAGGCCTGCACCTTTGTGCTGGCACATAAAAATTAACCAAATTGCCTGCCAAAAATCTAAATGGTTTCCATCTTCGGCTAAGAGGTACAACAATACCTCAATACTGTTACCTTTGCTACACCAGCGGCGATTAATTGACCATTGGATATGCTGAGGGTCTGTATCAAGCTGCTTAGCAATGTCGGACCAGATTTCTCCCAGAATATCATTGGGGATCTGGAGCTGGGAGCGGTCTCGTGGCAATCTTTTGAAAATAGAAGCTAGTTGCCAATACGCAAGGTCTGTGAAATTGGTTGCTATTGCGCTCAGATTCTTCAGCGGTTCATTGTTGAAGGGCTCATAGCCAATGAAAATGTTGATATAGAGGTCGGTAGAGTTGACCCAGTTCGTGAGCTTGTCCACTGTCTGATTGTAGTGGTGCTGAGGCTCATCAAATGTATTCTCCAAATAGGTGGCAAAAAAACGATCCCAGGTGGTGGGCGGTGAGTTGAAACCTAGGTCCTTGGATTCCTCAACCATCAATACAGCCGACGCTGCCACATAATGGTCCCATGGGATGAGGCCGGTCCTGCAAATGTCTACACTTGGAGCATCGAATATCTGCCATTCCTGCAAAATATCGTTCTGGTAATCATCCCAGAAGCTATTGACTGCGTCCACATAGAAGTCAACCAGGAAAAAATGCTCCCTGGCAAAATGATCATCCAGAGTCCAGCCCGTGTTGTGCATCGATGGAGAATCCTTTTGGAGATCCGGCAGTGTGAACGCCAGCTTGCCCGTGTGGGGAAGTGGAAGAAATTGCCTCACCTGCGATTCGGATGAAGCTGTAGCCACCCAGCGCAAAGCTCTCTGTTCCTGGTCATACCGATGGAAATCACCATCTAAGGCTGCAGTAGCCTTGTCAACATATTGAAGAAAATCGTGGTCGACTGCAAGATTGAGGTGATAGAGGCACTTGTCTAGCTGCAGGTACCTACAGAACTCAGTAGGTGGTGAGTAATGTTGTTGATGCACATTTCTCTCATGCCGCCAGAAGGAGCGGTGCGCTTCGCAGAGCGGACATTTCCCCATACCCAGAATGGCGTCACAGTCGCCGTTTGGTGTTGTCCCAGGGCACCACATTGTGCGGACTGGGAGTGGAGCTCTTTTGGAAAATCCTGGGAGAATAGGATTTGCGCTGCAATCTGGGCATTGCGAATTGAATCCCAATGCGCACAGGCACATCGTGCAGAGAATGAAATCGTTTTGGTATGTGTTGCCAGAGGTCTTCCCCTTACCAGATGGAGCGGAAGATCTTGCAGTAGATTTCCACATGGACGTGCCTGTTTGGCGCGGTCGATATCCTGGGGTCCAGTGGCCTGATCCTGAGGAGTCATGATTGTCATCCCACTTTTTTCCATAGTAGGTTTGGTCGGGGGTTCTATCGCTATGAGCTTTGCCCTTGTTGGAAAGCTTCCCCTTACCAGTGCTTTTCCCCGAGCCTTTATTGTTGAGTTTCCCTTTGGACTTGCCACCCTTGCCATAGTCGCTGGGGTTGATCTGGTACTTCATGAGGACGTTGGAAACAATGGGCAGGAGCCCAGTCGCTCCTTGAAGTGGTAGTGATGGATGTTCACTCAGGAGCTTTGCCAGTGATGGGGCCATACTGATGAAAATAATCGGAAATGGAAACTGCTGATGCGGAAATCGAATGTTGGATATGTCAAAAGCCTTGTCAAAATTGTGCCTTGCCGTTGTAGTCTTGTCAACAGCGGATCTTGATAGTGCTTGAATAAGCTCCAAAGTATGTTGCATTCGATCAGTGAAAGCGTCAAACCATTTCTGCTGTATCTCTTCAAGGTAGTTCTCCACAATGAACAGGACACATACATAACGTCTCGGGAACCTGTTGTCCAGTAGGTATGTTACCTGCGCTAACAGTTGTTGAGTACTGGCATTTTTGTCCGGCCATATTTGCAGAGTCGCCCTGTCTGACTGGAGCTCTCCGTTGCTTCCTTTCATGTCTGCAGGTAGTATGTCCTGGAACAAATCGAGCAAAGTGTAATACGGCTGCAGCGCCAATCTATCGCTGGTCGGAATATCGTTCTCCACCTTTGCCTTTCCGTATTCTTTGCCATGTATGAGCCAAACATTCTTGGTGTTCCTCATGTGCTGGAAAAACTCATTTCTCGCAATCTCAGTGGTAAATTCCAAGCGCATGACGGAGCTGTCCGTTGTCAAAGTATGTGTATGCATGGCAGCTAAGCAATCCCACGAAACTCCCGATTTCTGGAAATAGTGCCAAACATTGCGTTCCAACTCAGTTCTGTTGTACCCATGGGCTGGCAAGCCCTTGATAAGGAGGGATTTGTTGCCAAATCGGGCCTCAAGCGTTTTGAGACGACTGTCTATCATGTCCACTTTCAACTGGTTGTAATAGAGCTCATGGACCGTGTTGTGGTAAAATTTATGGCAATTGTCAATCAAGGCGTTGAGGTTTGGGAGGAAAGTGTCTTGATGATATTGCATCATCGCTTCCTTGATTTTCTCTTCGCTCGTTGCCAGAATGGGCACTTCAGTGATACTGTTAAAAGGCCGTTTTTTGCTGAGGTCAAGCTTCTCCATTTTCCCAGAATCTGTGTTGAAATGCTGAACTTCTGGAGCAATGAGGTTGAGATCAAGAAAATCTTTGCGAGCTTGCACATCTGTTTTCAACGTTTGTTGGAACTGGGGATCTAGGTCTCCGAATTCGATATCCTTTGCAGCAAGGGATTCCAGAAACTGCTGCCAATCCGGCTCTTCACTTTTGGATCGCTTGGGCGATGGCTCAGCAGCTCTCGCCTGTCGTGCTTTCATCACCATTTCTAATTCCTCTTTTGTGAGGGTGAAATCTGGTCTTTGCTCTTCCTTAGTAGGCGCCGCCTCTTCCATGGCGGCGAATGGCCTTATTAGTAAGTGTATCCTTATTAGAAAAATGCCGGGACAAAGGAACAAATCTAGGCTGGGGGAACCCCACGGGCCCACAGCATGTGCCAACAAATGGAAAATGATGGATATGGAAAAACTGACCATGCGCAATGGGCCAGTCCACTACTAGCCCGCCATCGTTTTGCAGCAGTGGCTTGTGCCAGATGCCTATCAGGCTGCATCATTGCACTAAATCCCCTGGATTGATGGTGTTCAATTTGTCGGGGACAATTGCTGGTGTTCCAATTTGCCTTCCCACGTGTTTTTTTTTCGTCTGATTATTTTATTTGCCAAAATCGCACTTGTTTTTCCACCGCTGTGTTCAGGCAAACAGTTTTTAATTTTTGAAGGCGGTTGTATCGAAATCGATTTGAAATACAATCTGGGCACCACGGCCATGGCCGCGATTGAAGTGGCGAAGTTTGCAAAGCAACCGCCAGTTGGTGCCAGGTAGTGTACACCAGGTGTAGAAAATATCCCTACCTGTTAGATCCTGTAAGCGGGGTGATGCAGTAAATTTAGTAATATGACATTTTCTGGGCAGGGTGGGAATTGTAATCTTACAATTTTCTGGGTCACCCAAAACATCAATGTTACCATTTTTATGCATTTGTCTGGTAGCATTTGTTCAAACCCAGGAAAAAATGTAAGTTAGGAAAGTGCATGTTGACAAACATCAAAAAAAATAGAAGCACATCCAACGCAGTGGCTTAGCAATTACGCATTTTATCCAATCCGGAAATTGAAAAACATGAAAAAAAATTATCACGTACTCTCATGTGCAGTGATAAACATGCATACTGTATCACAATAATCGTCCAAACATGTCCAAACACTATCAAACAACACTTGCCCAAAAAAACAATGTCTACTTTTTTCACGCGTGTGTTACTTACCAACATTGAAACATATTGAATCAAGTTGCAAGGTCTTTACATTGTTTGACCTCATTTTGAATCATCTTCTATCGACTGACGCAATAATGGCGGCAAGATAGGGCATTGCTGCGTTTGGATGTCATGTGTTTTTTGTTTTGAATTCTTGTTTATGCGCAATTCGACCTGTAAATATCAAGGTTTTGGGACACCCAGCCGAACCCAGCTTACATTTTCCTCTGGCAAAGGAGTCTTCCCAAGAGACGCTCAAACATGCTTAAAATTGATGCCTTTTTCAGGAGTCAACATTGAAATATCTTGAATCAAAGGTTTTGACATAGTTTGACATCATGCTGAATCATCTTCTGTCAAGTCGCCCGGTAATGCCGGCAAAATGGAACATTGCGGCGTTTAGATGTCATTTGGTGTTTTGTTGTTGGATGGATGTTTTTTGTGAAACCGACCTGTACATACCAAGGTTTTGGGATACCTAACCGAACCCACCTTACATTTTTCTCTGGCAAAGGAATCTTCCAAGAGACGCTCAAACATGGTTGGAAAAACATTGTTAAAACTGAAGTTTTTTTCGGGGGTCCACCTTTAAAAAAATGAGTCAGACTGGTTTTCGCGTCATTTGACATCATTTTGAATAAGTTTTTTTCCATTCAATCACAGTTTTTGAAATCACCATACCCTCCGATAAGTGACAAGGCTAGGACAAATAAACCTATAATGTCAATTTCATATTAATAAGCGGCCCGGATGAATTAATCAACACCCATAATCAAAAAAATGTTCGGCAATACTACTTTGAGTTGGTCCCTCCCTACTAATGATCATGGGCGGCCACCGTGGTCACCCCCTATTAAACCCACACCCTTCTGGAAAATCCTGGTTCTTTTTGATTCTTTTTGTGGTGAGAAAGTGATTTGGTTCTGATGCTTCTGACTTGGTGGTTCCAAATCAATGGAGGAACGGCTTTATAGTTATGATCACATATACTGAAGAGATTCCAGGCACACAATCCCCAAATTCTAGGGAAAAACGAAAATTGTGATACAAAAATATGCATGTTCCTTTAATTTGTTCTTGTTAAAAAATGCATTTGGAAAAGCTCACAAAAGGTACCCTAGACTGGTTGACTCCCTAAAGAATGCACCTGCGCACCCCCAATTAAAAAACACCTTCAGCCCCCCTGGCCATAAATTGATTTCAACTGACATCCTTACTTATCCTTTAGATTTTAAAATGTCCCGTGAATTCCATTTTTCTTGTTGCTCATTATTTGGGTGTGACAACCTTCTCATGGATCTAAACCTTCTGGGGGGAAGGGGGGTTATTGATACGAACTTGGCATTACACAATTTACCCTCTGGTAATTTAACATGGCTATTGAACATGGCCATAGAAATAGTGAGTTTTCCCATGGAAAAATGGTGGATTTTTCCATAGTTTTTTGTTAATTTACCAGAGGGTACATGTCCAAAATTATTCTTTGAAAACGACCGTTAAACCCACCATCCCGAAATGAGCATCCCACTTGCAGCCAAAGCCACACTCGCGGCCTCAAAGACGGCGGCGACGGAACCCGAAATCATGGAGCGAATCGACAAGCCGTTGCCCTGCGGTGCCCGGAAATGCCTATGTAGGCTAAAAATGATGAATTCAATATATTGGTAAAAGCATGTAAAAGCAGATGTTGTGTGCATATTTTACTTGCACAAAATCCCGTTTAACGTCGGCATTCATCAACTACAAATTGTGAACACTCCAATGGTCATAATGAACTTGTATAAATTGATATGAAATAAGCCGGCAAAAATGAAGACATTGTTTATCGGGGGGAAATGTGGCACCTTATCGCACCCGACATGTGAAAAACAGCAACTGTTGCGACCTGGGAGGCCGAGAAAGGCTGCAGGATTCGTAGTATAATTTTGGCGGATCGTGACCATCAGGGATGAAGCGACGAAATTGACGACGCACAAATCAAAGCGGCTGGACCCCCCCAAAAAAATATCACCTCAATCCGTCCCCGATTTAAAATTTTGACCTCTCAGGTCACGTGATGGCATGATCTTGGCAATCAAAACCGTGTCACACGTTCAGTGAAACACATGCCACCATGTACCGGTGCATTATCACTACCTTTTTAGTGGGGCGCGACCATACCCAAATGTAAGATACATTGGGAATTCGCCTGTTCACACAGACTCCCTATTCGTTAAACAAAAAAAAACTGCAGTCTACCTTGAACCATTGAAATGGCACATCTAACAAGTCGAGAAATTGGATGCGTAGGGGCCTGACACCCTCTGCAGAAATCATGGCCAGGCAACCAACTACAAAACAACACAAAATACTAATACAACGGCAATTCTGTAAATAATGGGGAATCCGTGTTAGCCACGTAGATGTCACCAACCATTAAAACACCAAAAGAATCCAAATGTTTGTCTGACTCATGTGGGATATAAGCGATGGCCGGCGCACAACGGCAGTTTTAACAGATTTCCAAAATTCAAAAAGCATGCCCATTGCCTCTCAAAACGCACTCTCTAAAACATCATGACCCAAGATGCCCTTCCAAAAAAGTGGAAACCGGGTCAGCCATGTAGAAAAACCACTGTTTTCCCACAGAAACTATTCTTAGGGACAACCCGAGCCGTCGCATTTCTTAGAGGAAATTCCGAAGGTAAGTTGTTCAATTTGTTTTTATTTGAGGGGTGCCACCGTCCCCACAGAAATGCCACCTGGGGGATTCAGGGACCAATTTTACATTTAAGGCAATTTAAGATAATTTAAGGGTTGGTTCCAAAAAATGTATCCTACATTTTGGATCATTTTGGTATAGCCCCCGTGAAAGGTAGCCTTGAAGAGGTGGTGATGCTGCATTAACTGACACACACTTTGCCGACACATTTGCTGACACTATAAACGAGGTGCCTCACATACCGGAAACATTTTGATGCCATCCGGTGGTGTGTTTTCTTCGACATTTTGATTATCATGGTTTTGCCATGCACCTTCACATATCTATTGACTCTACATGCATACTGCCATTACTGCCATAGACTGCCATAGGCTGCCATATACTGCCATAGACTGCCATAGACTGCCATAGACTGCCATATACTGCCATATACTGCCATATACTGCCATATACTGCCATGCGCTCAAGTTCCTTAGCCACCATGTAGTCACATGCCTGGCATATGTGCCTACATTGTGCCTACATACTCGGTAGCAAAAAAAGTGCCGACACATGCTTTGACACATCGACGCGCATCAATGCTGACAGACCCCTTTAAAAAGGTATAGCATGCACTAATACAGCTAAAAACTGCGTAGCAGACAGAGTCCCGATGTGCCCCGTGCTGCCATCAAACTGCATCCCCTAAATCCGGGTCATCCATCCATGCCATCATTTTTTCGTTGACAAAAATCCGGGCAACTGCTTGACATGAAAGGTGTTCAGAAAATCACTGCACAAAAATAGCATCCCGACACATACTACACAAAGGCACTTGGGACACAAAATTGTAAATTTCACAAGAAATTGATAGCAAAGGCAGGGTCTTGAGGATTCTTGAGGCGCCGCGTCCTCGCACCATTCACATTCTCCGGTTGGTATTTTCTTGCCGTGCTACACACAAACTGTTTTTGGATCACTATCCCTGTGCGCAGGGAGGCGGAAGGAAAAAAAACGCAAAACGAATTCACCAACAGTTTTGACTGTTTCAATTCCCGGGTTGGTTTGAAAAAGGATCCTGTTGGGTTCGTGCGTCATCTGTCCCCATTTTCCTACTGGTCACCAACCATATGCTCAACGGTTCCACGCCTTGTGCAACGCTGCAAGGGCCTCCTTCAGGTTCGCCTGCGCTTCGGGCGGCAAGTCTTTGTAGACTGCGGACACCTCCTCGGCCGAAGCCTGGCGCGGCAGAAGGCGAGGAATGCCTGCGGGTACCCGAATATAGAATAACATGAATAACGCCGTTGAACATCGTTTAACCATAGCTATTTCTACAGCGGAATTTCGGCTTTGCAAGCGAATGAGGACAATATACCAGTGTCACATTCCCTTCAGGCAAAATCAATTAGGTGGCACTCACCTTTTGGACACGGATTGTTGGCAAAGAATTGAAATAACGTATGTTTTGATTGAAAGAAGGACGAAATCAAAAATTACCTGGCTACGAAATGAACGAGGTGCTGCTAATGATGATGACTGCAAATATTTCAGCCCTTCCAATGTGGACCGTCTGCCTGCCGTCTGCAATGGTTGCAACCTCTTCCACACGCAACAGCACACGCACACACACACACATGCAAAAAAAAAACAGCCTCGCTGAGCTTCCCGAGCGCACCGCTCCCCATGGTTTTGGCAATTTCGTGCGATAGGGCAGCACAAATACGCAGGATCAGCTGCCCATGTCACCGAATGTGCCCGTGAGGTAACTTGCTCTGTCATTCGGATAAAGCAACTACTAGATGGATGGGGAACATAGGGCGTTCGATTGTATCACGTTTTGATCACAATCTCCAGTGTCACAACCCGGATGACACTAGGAAAAGTCCTTGAGCCAGTTCTTTTTGCGAGTTAGTTTGTTTCTGATAGGGCTGGCTGCCCGGTTTCATTTCAAGTTCTTCGAGGGGCAAAGGTCTTGCACGCAATCATTGTATGCATACGCTTGACCGTGACCTGTGCATGATCATTTGGTTGCAGTTCACCAGTGCCGGAAACGAAGCATCGATGCCCGCCCCATGAAATGAAATTTTAACGGTTCAAAGCTACAGGCGTCCCACACAAATGGCAAAAACCTGAAATCGCAAGTGAAATGCCAACGCCACATTCGTATCAAATTCAAACAAACACTTAATCAACCGATTGAATACAATGCTTAAAGGTGCGACATTCCAAGCGCCAACCGGATGTCAATGGCAAACACTTGAAACACCATGAAACCAGTTGCTACGGTTCAGGTCAAGTTTCGCAAGAACGTTGACTACTGGAAAAAAAATATGGTTCATCCCTACTCTCCACATTGGGAAAAACCCTTCAAACGCTGGAAGAAAAATTGAAATCTGTACTTTGCACCTTTTTTCAACTGACATGAAATCTCCCTTTAGCACAATATTTGCAAGGTTTAGGCACTTAAACATGGACTTTACATGACATTTAAAAATATTTAAAACGTTTTGGCCTTGAATCTATGAGTTTTGTTTGCAGTTGAAAACTCTTATTTGCACTAAATTTGTTTCTAGGTTGTGGGAAAGTATTTATGCAATTTGCAAATCGTTTTGGCCTTGAATCCCTTGTTTGCACCGTGCCCGCAGCATCTTGGAACCAGTATTTGTACTACACCGGGTATGATTTGCAGTATTTCGTGCTATTTGCAACATACTGCCAGGCGTTAGTTATAGGATATATTTCAGCTTGGTTAGGGTGTATTTGGGGATTACTTTTTGTTGATTTCGGGTTTTCTGTCAAGTTGGTTTGGCCGCGTACGTTTTTAATTGTTTTACGTTTTAGATTTGGTTGTTTTAGGTTTCCTTTAATGGTTTTGTTTTGTTTACGTCGGTTTGTGCTATAATGTTGGTTTTGGGTTGGTTTGGTGTTTGTTCGGTGTCGATTTCAAGTTGTTGAAATGTGAATTTAGTGCTGGTTTGGTGTTTCCTTCAGGTTGTTTCAGGTGCCGGGCATCTGAGGAGGACCCCGCTGTTGTCAGTTTTTGACATTACTCATTACACTAAAAACAACATCATAGACGAGGGGGGGTGGGGTGGGGTGGGGTGGGGTGGAGGGGGATAATAGCGTCATTGGCTATACGTTCTCATGCACTTGCACACATACGTCATGCTACGCTGCTGTACGTTCTCATGCACTTGCACACATACGTCATGCTACGCCACTGTACGTTCTCATGCACTCGCACACATACGTCATGCTACGCTGCTGTACGTTCTCATGCACTTGCACACATACGTCATGCTACGCCGCTGTACGTTCTCATGCACTTGCACACATACGTCATGCTGCGCTGCTGTACGTTCTCATGCGTTTGCACACATACGTCATGCTACGATATGCTACGCTGCTGTACGTTCTCATGCACTTACACACATACGTCATGCTACGCTGCTGTACGTTCTCATGCACTTGCACACATACAACATGCTACGCAGCTGTACGTTCTCATGCATTTGCACACATACGTCATGCTACGCCACTGTACGTTCTCATGCATTTGCACACATACGTCATGCCACGCTGCTGTACGTTCTCATGCACTTGCACACATACGTCATGCTACGCTGCTGTACGTTCTCATGATGATGATGATGATAATGATGAAATTGCTCCTGATGCTAAAGTTTCGTTTTTCAGCGTTTTGTGGTCCCCCTGTAAAATGTTTTAGAAGCGACAACAGCGGGGGCCTCCTCAGATGCCCGGCACTTCGTTTTAGGATCTAATTTTCAACGTTGTATGGTGATCTTTGGGGGCAATTTTAAAATTTATTTCGGTGTTTGTTATGTAGCGCACGGGTGTGTGTAGTGCTGGTTTAAGGCTTAGTTGTATTGCTTATTTGGGTTTCAAAATTAATTTGAGTATATTTATAGTTGTTTTGGTGTTTCTTTATGTTTACGGTTGTGTTATGTAATCCCTTCCTCCTTTTACTAAACCCGGCCCAAATATTAAAAACTAGTGTCCATCTCCACTTGTTGAAAATTTCAGATTGGCCAATTTGACTTTTAATTGGCCCCCTTTAGAAAACAGTTTAAAAATCAAGCTGCCATTTGTGAGTTTTCCCCCCTAATACTAAAAACTAGTCAGCCCCGGGGTGTTTATTATTAGGGGGCTAATCCCAATCCCTGAATCCAAGCTGCCTGGCTGCCCTAGCTGATCAATGTTTTGCTGACACGAAACTGTCTGGTTGTCTGAAAGCCACCCCTCTGCCTTGCTGTCTGCAAGATCTTTCTGAGCTGGTTGGAGTCCTGAATTTTGAAGATCCCATAAACACCTGTGTTGAGGGCCTCCCTTAATTTTAGGAAGTTAAAAGAAAGCTCTAGACTCCAGCCACTGTACTTCCTGGTTGGTTGAACCAACAAGCAATGGAGGCTGCCTGTCTGTGGGCCTGACCCGCTGGATGCTGGATAATTACTGATTCTAATTATCTGCCTGATGAAACTCCTACTGTCAACACATGAAACCCTCATGATTATTACATATACATGTATAATTGATTACATACACGTATCTAATTATAAATATTCTTATATGATTAATAATCCCTTCCTCCTATATAATTACAGAATAACATGAATGCGACTTTGGTTCCCGAATAATAAATACCCCCCTAATACTAAAAACTACCTGCCGTGTTTAGTAATAGGAGGGGGCGTTTAGTATTAGGAGGAAGAGATTAGTGCCGAACTTGTGGTTGGTTTGGTATTGTTTGATTGCGGTTTAATTTTTTTTTGTATTTTTTTCATTGCGTTTTGGGATGTTTATTTAGGACGGTTGGTATAGATTTTATTGAGAGTTAGTTTGTGGCCTATTCAAGGGTGATCAAACGATCAGAAGGGTAAAAGACCAGGATGAGGAGGGTAAGGGACCAAGGGATCAATAGGACCCAGGGATGTGAGGACCAGAGAACCAAAGGACCAGACGACCAGGGACCAGGACCAGGGGACCAGAGGACCAGGGGGAGGACCACAGGACCAGGGGACCAGAGGACCAGGCGACCAAAGGATCAGGGGAACCTCAAATTATTATTCCAGTAAATCTATATTTTTTCCAGGCACTAGTTTTTTTTTAAGAAACTTATTTTTTTCCAGTATCATCATTTGAAATCATATCGCAATGTTACCTTCGGTCGTTTAAAGCAGGGAGCAAGAAACGAGTTTAACTCGAGACAACTACAAGCAACTACAACGATTTTTGGCCACGTACCGGACCAGATCGGACCAGATACTGGACGAGGTGCCAAAACGGATGCTTACACCCAACGGCAGTTGAAAAACATATGACGCCCGAATTGTATCAGAAATTTGGCATTGCCACTTGCGGTTCCAGTTCGCACAGAGGTTTTTTCCAAACCCCCAGATCCCCGTCTGGCCAGCATTTTGTACAGGCAGCAAGGTTTTCACTGCTGGCTGAAACCCTTCAATAAAAATGGTGCGGGAGGCACAATTTACAACCAAGGAAATCCTTTGCGTAACGTTTCTGGCCAGCAAATTCCGCCAACTAATCTCAGAATTAATTCGTAAACCACTTTGTTGCCGCTATGCCGCTGGTAGGGAACCTAGTTCTTCCAAACCACATTTGTTTTCGTACCACTACACAGGACATCAACGACCCAAGTCATTGTGCAATACCAACACGCCCTCCGTGGCAATGCGTTCTGCTGCACTTTCCGCGTGTGTGCGGTGAGGCTGTCCATTTGAGGCACAAGGTTGTAGGTGGGTGAAACAAAACATTGGCAACTAAGATCCCAACTCTAGAATTGAGGAGGAAAAAAAATCACCCACACACACACACAAAAAAAAACTCCAAGGCATATTCCATCCACAAGCTTGTTGCCGCAGCAAAAACTCTTCAATCACCAAAGCCCTCAAATCGTCAATTTTGGCCGATGTTCGTCCTGCAAATCGAAAAGTGTTGCGCATGTTTGGGCGCAATGATCTAATATGATTTAATTGTATGGACAAAATGTACTCGGTTTTATGTCCTGCCGGGCATTCGGACATCTATTCGCAAGTATGTGGAAATAAATAAATAAATAAATAAAATTAAGTAATAAAAAAAAAGGTGGGCGGGCCGATTCTTTAGAGGCCCGGGGCGGGCTAGAAGTGGGACATTTATAGCATGGAACCCTAAGCTCTATAGAATGGAGGGCCTATAGAATGGAGGGCCTGGACTAGCATATCATAACAATCTCTATAGAATGGAACCCCCATCTGTATAAAATGGAACCTCCGACGGTCCTACAAACAGAGGCATGTCTACAAAATGGACGAGCCGGTGATTGGCTTGAAAACTGTTTAATTTCATAGTGTTCCCTCATTTTTTCCTTAAAAATTGTAAAAAGAGAAACCGTAAAATTATGTAAAAACATGTTACCCCTTGATGTCATTGAACCAGTGAGCTCTAAAAAATGGAACTTCGTTTTTTTGGAAACACACAATTGGTGTCTAAAGAATAGGAAACTGAAAATTTAGTGGTCCCGGGTGATAACCCTGAACTCTGAAGAATGGAACCATGCAGGACCTGCCTCATGAACTGATTGAAGTGTTGGTCCACGAAACAACCATTCTGTTAGTGATACACGCCTAAAAATGGTGGTTTTGAGAAACAACCGGGCGTTAGGACGACTTTTGCTTCGGAGCTGAAGCTGTACTGTTCGGTCTTGAACCCGCTCGTTCTGGACAAGTTTTGGCAATGGG